GAAACTTATACCCGTCGTTTTTATTTTATTTAGACTCTCATTTAACTTTACTCAAAAAAGTTAGAAATCTCGACACAGACTCTCTATATAATAAAGAGATAAGATTAATGGTATGACAACGAATATATAAGATATTGAAAAGTACATGGCCATGCTTAAAGGAGCTCCGCTGAGGTCAAAAAGTCTACGAATATAAAATCTAAAATTCTAACATAGATCAAGTAAAGCACTTAGAATAGGAAAAAAAAATATTCTCAGAATTAAATTGAAATCGATTTTTTGTGTGATTCTTAATCCAATTTTGAATAATTTTGCACGATACAAATGGTGTTTCTGGAGAAATAGAATAGAATGGTATGAAAATTTGCACATACTTTATTGATTCAGACCTACATCAAATGATACACAAATTTAAAAAAAAAAATCCAATCTTGTCATGTCCAGTCCATTTCAATATTTAAGTAAAATTAATCTCAAAATAAATGTCTATGGAACATGGTGTTGACATCAACCAGTAAGTTCCACATCTTGTCATTCTTTTTTTTTTAAGTCAACTTTTAGAAATTGAAACATATTAATAGTTTTGTAGGTTTTCACTTCGTTTTATCTATTTCATTTATTATGAAAATGATATAACCGCCAAAACAAACATATATCATTTAATGGCAATGGAACTTATTTAAAATAAAAACGATATTGAAGCACAATTTAAAAGGAAGGCTTATCGTTATGAAAGTTCTGAATTATTTTCAGTTGATTCTAAGAGACATAGACACACTAACATTAGATAATAAGTCATACATTGTTCAAGACTTGAAATAAACAAATTGTAACATCATACTTAAATTCTTCAATCCAACTAGATTGTGTAACACGGCCAAAATAATACTGTCTTTATTCTTTTGACCAGTTAGCTAAGCTACTATTGAAAAAGCCGCCGGCGTCGGATACAAATAACTATGGTGGAATAACATTAACAAGTTGCTTTGGTAAACTGTTTACAACCGTGTTAAACGAAAGGCTAAAAAAGTGGTCAGTAGACAATGAACGTCTAACAGATGCGCAGTTTGGCTTTAGATCTGGACACAGCACCACTGATGCTTTGTTCATTTTACAGTCTCTAATCAATATGTACAATATTAAAAACAAGCGTTTATATGCAGCTTTTATAGACTACCAAAAAGCATATGATAGCATTTATAGAAATGGCCTATGGTATAAACTCATCAAAGAAGGAATTAGTGGGAAAATGCTCACATTATTGAGATCAATGTATGAAGAAGTACAATCATGTGTCAAACATATGAACTCATTGTCTGAATTCTTCTCTTGTGACATGGGACTTTTTCAAGGGGAGATAACTTCGCCGATTTTATTCTCATTTTTCCTTAATGACCTAGAAATCCATTTACAATCAAATATTTCCTCAGGTGTAAACTTAGATCACGTATGCATTTACCTTATTTTATTTGCTGATGATTGTATTTTGTTAAGTGATTGCAATCGCATCTAGATTTATTATATGACTATTGTAGGCATTGGAAATTAACGGTAAATACGAACAAAACGAAAATCGTGGTATTTAAAAAGAGAGGACAATTGCATTCAAATGAACACTGGACATACTTTGGGAATGATATAGAGATTGTTGACAGTTTTAATTATCTAGGATTTGTAGTTTCTAGTAATGGACTATTCAAACGTGGTATAGACACTCTGTCTGGCAAAGCATTGAAAGCTGTAAACTCATTGCATACTATAACAGAACAGAACAGAACAGAACAGATACTTTATTTTTGACTTGTACAATCATACATCGTCATACATAAATAAACAATTTTACAATACATACTAACATAAATCACAAGATCGGATCTAAACATGTCTCTTTCATATCAATATAGAGGATGAATTATTAATATATTAAGTTGTATCTACTATATCTAAATTATTTCTATGAGACATCGCATCTCGTACATACAAGGATAAATTTAAAAGTATACTTCTATTGTTTGATTTTAACATATCAGTGAATTTAAACATACTAGGTCTTATATAATAGTATCTTTTTATATATTTTTTTCTTATATCAATATAACAAGGACAAATTAAAATGAAATGGTATTTATCTTCGACGTCATGTAGATTACAATATAAACAATATCTTTCATTTCTAACAATTCTATTTCTATGAAACCTACCAGTTTGCACATGTAATGAATGCGAAGATATTCTAATTCTTGTAAGATACTTCCTTAAAGTACTTGGTATTATATCAAGATAATTTTCATATACAAAAGAATCTTTAACATGATTATACAGATACAAAACAGGACTGCTCTCTTTACCAGATGGCCAACTTTGTAAAAAACAATCAATTACCCTTTGTTTAAATATTGGTAAAAATATTTTACTATTTACGGAATCTGGAAAATCCCAAATATCACTAAAACCATGATTACATAATAACAATTTAAGATTTGATAACCAATTTGTCTTACCATTATTACACTCTTCAAGAGCAATGTTACATACATTTTTAAGAATAATATTCTTTGTCTGAAGCATTTTAGACCAAAATCTTAAAATCTTAACATATCTTGAAATATATAAAAGATAACGTGCTTGTTCACCATACACAGCAACATAATATGAATTAACTTACATTTAATATCTTTTTACAAAATTTAAGATGGAGTCTTTCAATTTCCTTTGATATAGTAAAACCCCAGATTTCAGCAGCGTAATTTAAAATTAAACCAACAAAAGAGTCAAAAAGCTAACATAAAACTTTAGGTTTTTTCACTGTTATCTATTACCATAAATCAGTATAGTACATTTAGAGCTTTATATGAGCTTTACCAATCAAATGTTCTTGATTTAAACTAAAACTACTCGTATAAGTAAATATTGTTCCTAAGCAATTGAAGCTATTGACAATATTTAAATGTTTCCCTTCGTTATAAAATAATTCATTGTTTTTAAACCTCCGCGTTTTCTGTCTTATATGTCAACAACAACTTTGGTTTATCGATATTTACTTCTAAGCTTCATATTTTACAATTATCATTTAATAACGTAAAACTTCTATTTATATCATCTGGTGTATCTCCTAAAATGACCATATGACCATCAACGAACAGTAACAAAAACAAAACAATATCGTTTATAGTCAAACCACTATTTACATCCCTTTGTAAAAATAATTCTAATTCATCTAAAAAGAGGGAAATTAAAATCGATAAATTACCTTCCCTTGACGTAGACCTACTGCATAATTAAAGAATTCTGAGTAACTATTACATAACCTTACACACGATTTTACTTTACTATATAATTATGTCTTTTACTAGGCGTAACAATTTACCTCTAATCCCACAATTACTTAATTTTAACCAAAGCGCGTTTCTATATATACAATCGAAAGCCTTCTTAAAGTCTACAAAAACACAATACAAACGTTTATTATTATTTATATAATTTTTGAACAACTGTCATAAGAATAAATAAAGCATCAATGGTTGATTTTCCTTTTCTAAATCCAAATTGTGCATCTGACAAAACATGGTTTTCTTCAAAATATTGTATTAATCTTTTATTTAAAATAGATGTGAATAATTTCGATAGGCAACTAACTAACGTAATTCCTCTATAATTATTAACATCATTTTTATCACCTTTTTTATACAACGGTATTATCACACCTTCAGACCATGTATCTGGGAAATATCCGCTATCAAGTACATAATTAAAAATATCACAAATATGCGAGGATAAAATATCAATACATTCAATAAAATATTCATTTAACAGGCAATCAATACCAGGTGATTTATTTGTTTTTAAAGTTTTGATTGCTTCCAAAATTTCATTTACAGTAATACGTTTATCTAAAATATCATCCGATCCATTTAAATTTTCAAAATCATTGTTGCGTGAAAAATCTTCGGACTCCGTGTTACTTGATTGGAAATATATCATTACCTAATTCTGAAAAATACTTAAAAAATTCATCTAATGAAATGTCATGATTTACCTTATTATTACATTTAAATAATTTCCAAAAGTCTTTCGGCTTACAAAATCGTAAGCTCTCAATTTTTTAAACTTTTTTCAATTTAAACAAACGTCTCTTTTTCTTAACCAAATTCTTATATTTAGCTTTATAAAAACACAACTGCTCCCTATTTACAACACTATTATCTACTTTAAAATTATTTAATGCGTTTATATACAACTTTTTAGCTTGTAAACAATCATTATCAAACCACTCCTTATCCTTAACAATACATTTATCAATAAATGTAGGTTGATTATGTATACTATAATTCTTACAAAATAACGGATTCGCAATTTCTTGTATCACATTGTTAAAGCCTAATGAAAGAGAGTCTATCGCAGAACGATCAGTTAAATCTACATTATGACATAATTCGTTTAATACTGGTAATTTTCCAATAAGATTCGACCTGAAACTATCTCTAAGTTCGGGGGACCATACATATTTAACAAAATTGTCATTTTGTTCCCCATGTTTACACTTATACGTTTCACTACAATTAATATTGAAAGAAATAGGGCAGTGATCACTCCATGCATTCAACTCGTGCACACTGAAATTACTTATCAGCGAAAAATTACATTCTTTTGTTAATAAATAGTCTATGGTTGATGACCCCTGGCTAGAAATAAACGTGCATTTACCGTAAAGATCACCTATTCTACCATTTACTATACGAAAACCCGTGGATTTACATAACTCTAACAGTCTATAACCGAGCGTATTACAATGTTTATCTGATGAGGCTCTACCAAGGGGTTCGTCGGGAACATATTCATCAAAATCAATGTCACTGTTCACACTGTCATGTAAAATAAAGTCATTTCTACAGCCAATTCTCGAATTACAATCTCCTATTAAATAAATTCTGCCTTTGCTTTCAAAGCTATATATGTCATTTTGTATAATATCAAATAGGTCAACATTATGTACATCATACGCTGGCGAATCCTCACACCATATGTACACACAACATATGTAAACATCTTCTTGAAACTTGAAAAATGTTTTATCTAGCTTAATCCATACTATAGTATCATAATGGTTTTTAACAATATTAATACCACCTTGTAAATAATCTCTATAATATAGCGCAACACCTCCGCTGCTACACTTGGCTCTTCTGTGCTTGAATTTTCTATAATAGTTATGCGAAATAAAGCCTGATATATCGATGTTGCTGTTTTTGTTGCACCAAGTTTCACATAAAAATATAATGTCATGTTCAATAATCGAATCAATAAAATCCTGGTTACTCCTTTTTATTTCCGTTAAACCGTTTACATTCCATGCACAAATACTCAATTCACCCTCTCCGCGCTCCTATTTCTGAGCCTTTCCATCGATGTACAACGTATCATATGACAGCCATGCTTTATTACCTTTCTGCCTAGCTTCTTTCAATTTTGGCAGTAGTTCTCTCCTCTTGTCGATAACCTCTTTTGGAAATTGTTCGTTCACATAACAATTGGTACCTTTTAGTGCTACACCTGACTTCCTTACAAGTTCCCTCTCTTTAAATAAATTAAATTTGGCGACAATATTTCTAGGCTTGCCATTTCTACCATGATTTCCTATTCTGTGCACTCTTTCAAATTTCATTTCTTTAACTAAATCATTTGCTATTTTCATTTTATCTGTCAGAAAGGTTCTTATCACTTGTTCACAGTCTTCATTATTTCCCGTTGGGGCCTCATCAATGTTTGTAAATATCAGGTTATTCCTCATTGACTGAGATTGAATGTAAACAAGGTCATCGTTAAGTTTTTTGTTTCTGTCTTCAAGATCGGTTATTTTGGATGTAACAATACCAACATTGAAATCTGTACTTTCAACTTTTTCTTCGACCATATTAAGCCTTGCATTTGTTTTGTCATTTTGATCCTTGATAACATTCCAAAGTTTAACTAAATCTTTGTCAAAATTTTCATTTTTTTTCTCCAAAGATTGCAAACATGTTAATTTTGATTCAACATTTATATAACGAAGGGTATGGAAATACCGGTGAAAATTAAACTCAATTTATTTGACGCATATGTGACATCTATATTATGTTATTCATGTGAGATATGGGGATTTGATAATGCAGAATGTCTTGAGAGACTTCATAGAAAATTCCTAAAGAGACTGTTAAATGTTAAAATGTCAACTTGTAATGCTGCTGTTTATGTTGAAACAGGCCGATTTCCATTGCATGTAAACTGGAAAATGCGTATTGTAAAATACTAGTTGAAAATAGTAAAAAGTGAAAATTGTATTTTAGAGAACATATATAAGAAACTGTTGTTTGATTGTGAAAATGGTGAAAAAAATTTGTTATATAATGTTAAAATGTTACTGACTCAATTAGGGTTAGCTGAAGTTTGGCTATTTCCAACATCTGTTAATATGAATGTATTTTTGCACGTACTGAAAACTAGACTGATTGACAATTTTATTACAGAATGTAGAATTCGAATGGATAATAGCCCAAGTTTGACTTTGTTTAGAGAATTGAAAGAGGGTCTAGAGTTATCTGTGTATCTTATGAAAATAAATAATTTCAAACATAGACAAATAATATCAAAAATAAGAATGTCGTCGCATTGTCTTAATATCGAATATGGAAGACACAGGAATATTGAGAGACAAAAAAGACTATGTGAATTGTGTGATAAGCTAACAATTGAGGATGAATTTCATTTTGTACTGGAATGTAACATATTTAAAGATATACGTATGAAATTTATACCAAAATATTATAGGCAGAGACCTAGTATGATGAAATTTGTTGAACTTATGAAAACAGAGAACAAACGTTTACTTCATAACATCGCATTATATTTGTTAAAGGCATTTAACAAACGGCAAGAGTTACTTAACCGTGTTTAAAATACAACACTCTCGTAAATATGATATGATAAAATGTGTATTTATATAAGAATATTATTGCCATGTACATGTATGTATATATTTTTGTATATGTCTATATGCTGTACCATGCATACGACTAAATAAACCTTCTGTTCTGTTCTGTTCTGTTCTGCTACTACCATTTAGATTTCAAAGCGGTTTAAGAAATGGCCACAATAATAACGTATGTACTTCACTAGACTTTTCTTGAGACTGAATATGACTTTTGACAGAGTGTTTAAGCATCAACCGAATTTAAATTTCTTTGGATGGAAAATGAAACGACAAATATATCATTGTATTTGATTGGCATGTAATATCATGCTGATTTATTATTATTGGTGCTACGGAAGATATTCTGATAAGAAAACAATAAAACACATATCCATTATAAAATAAGATAATTTGTACAGATTAAATGACGGATTGCATTTTTAATTTTGAAGATCAACTTTGATTTCCATGTTCCATGAGCTAACATTTAAAGTGATGACTGGTTTATAGCACATGATGAAATTCAAGTTATAATATTGTGTATTAAGGATGCTTTTGTCTTCGATGAAAATAAATTTACAGACACTTTAGCCCCGACAGATTTATTCAGCATTTCTGAAATTACGAAATGAAGTTGGATGCTGAAATACCTTGGAGGATAAGTATATAGGTATAACTAAAATAAGCATGTTCTTGAATGAATGGCATTTTGGCACCTGCGTGTAATTAGAATGATATACATATGTTTAAGTAAAGTGTTTGAATGTTACATGCTGAGACAAATAAAAGCGGCCTATTCTGTAACCGTGAGGAAGTTGGATATTTGGTACAAGCATCCCATGTTTTGCTTTGTTTTTGACCTGCCTAAAATAGTTTTTATGTTCTACTTTTGCTTTTTTATTACCTTAACATGAACGAAACGGAGTTGTAGATTTTTGGTAAGTAAATATATCTCTTTAAATGAAAGTCATACCATAGGATTGGAGACATTTGAGGAAATATCACTTTTAGAAAGTAGCTAAATATCTCATGTCAGATATTTTTTTTTATCAAATAGTGATATAACATTGTCTATAGATAGTGAGAATATTATGCTCGTTGCTTTTTAGAGACATAAAGTGTTTATTAAGAAATAGAATGAAATATATCATGTTATTCTTTTAGCTCAATAAAACGATAAAAGCAATTCCCACTTATGAAAATAATTCAAATAAAACATAAAATATGAACCTCATTCGGCCATAAAATTTTAATTACATCGTGAACTTAAAGTGACTGATCGAATGATAAAAGTCTAAAATGAAAGTGTTATTTAGTGTTATTTTGTAACACACCACGTGTGCCGCATTAGTTTATATCACCTGATATCACAAATAGAAATCGAATAATTCAGGAAAATAACACGTTTAAAGGCATACGATGATATCATAGGAGCTCGGATAACTTTATTAGATCTGTAAGATAGAGTCCATGGAATTAGTCACATAACATCAGTCAAACTTTCATTAAATTGAATGAAAATCATGAATAAGTCATATAGATATATTACTGTATTGTCACTCTAAGCAACGATTGTTGATGTGTCAGGTGTAAACCAAGGCATTGCAATCCGTGCATTAGTGTATTTTTAGGAAACAATCTGTGGGTATTTGGTGATAAGCCATTTCAACAATAGTACATTGGCTTAAATCAGTTATTTGCCAATGGTATTGTCATAAAAATGTTGGAAAGAGCAAGGAAAGCATTGTATGGTCACACCCGGGTTTTGCAAATGAAATAACTTTTAAAAAATGTCAAAAATGTCACCTAACTAGACATTTGTCATGCTGTATCACTTAAATATACACACAGGAATAATCGACGTATTTTCTTACAAAAATGAATGGCAGATAAATTGGTTTCATTCCTGCAAAAATTGCTATATGATATGTTATAGCAATTTATGTATAGAACACGTGACATGAAATAATAACAAGTCTGGTGAATCCGGTTTTAAACTGACATTCATTTAGCAAGTTATGGCGAGAACAATGTATACATTCTGGGAAAATAAAACAAAATTGTACATTCAATGTGATATGTTTAATTAAATCACATATAATGTATTGCGTGGTGGGACCCATTGTTGAGCTTGATAAATGGTCTCGCACTAATCTTAAGCTCACTGGTTGGAAAATATATTGTAAAAATGAAAACAATTACCTAAGTGAAAATCGTTTAAAAATATGGTATGGCTAGTCACCCGCAACCAAGCTGCTCTACTCGCAACCAAACAACTGACAACAAGTAAAAACGGACCTGGGTAACAAAATACTGATCTTTGTTTGAATCATGCTATCTTTTTCGATCTTTTTTTTATTTCAATTTTTAACATTCGGATTTTTATTTTTTTTATTTCAATTATGCATTTGACACAGTTTTCAAAATCTATACAACGCGTCACACAAGATTATTTTCAAGCGCAAATCTTAGGAGCACTTAAATGTCTGCATTACATTGATTGATGAAAATGTTTAATCTAAGGAGTTATTGAGTTTTGAACAATATCGCACTTGTTGTTCAAAGTGAAATATTACGAAATTTTAAAACGAATCTTATGTAACGAAATAACGTGTGAGTGGTTTTACACTTAAGTTACATTTAGATTCAAAACTAAGTACACGTACATATCCAAACTTCAAAGCTGTTTCAAGTTTTTCATAATTACGAAACTAATCATATGTATCGTATGAAATTATATTGTTGATAGATTAAGGTACAAGGAACAGCTCCTTACTGTATTAATTAAACCTTCTGTAACATTGGTAACATAATCTTTGTAGAAGTAATGGGATATAACTTAAATTACATGTTTAAATATGCGATGTCATTATGTGTAGTGCAATATGAAACTGCGCCTTATGAAGTATCCTTTCCGTTTTTAAATGCAATATTGATATCAAAATTGATTTAATGTAACGAAATAAAAATATTAGTTTAAACCTTCTTCCAAACAGCTTATCTGGCATGTTTAGTACCTTGATTTTTACAATCATAGCAAAGAGTCTCGTGCTAGACATTGTCATTTTCCGGACATATTAAATCTCAATATACTCAGAATATTTAGCAAATCTTTTTAGAAATCAGATAAAATATTCTCCAGGTAAATAATTTGACACATTATTTGTCTATATACTTTTTAATCATGGTTTTGGTATGAAATATATTAAGAATTAAAAAGGAACATTTTTTTTGGTTGTACAGATTTTTCTTTTTTTTAAAAAAAATATCAATTTAATATTCGGAAAAACCAGATTAAAGGTAGTAAAACAAAACAATCTAATTTCATTTAAAGACTTAAGAAACTATGCAAAACATGTAACACCATCTTAAGCAGTTTTTAATGGTTAGAAATATATAACCCACAAGATAAACCAAAAATACTGATAGTTTTATATTTGGCTTGCAGCATAAATATCAAAGTATGATTGATACATACTTGATTCGTCAGGCGTAAAATTTATAGAAATCATTTCCAGCCAAAGGTCATTCAGTTTTATAGATGAATGCATTATGTTTATGTGAATGTCATTAGATACAATGTTCAAATACATGTTTCGAAGAATGCATTAGGACCCATATCCTAATTTCAAGAAAGGATAGAATTAACTTGGAAATTGAAACTCTATCTGTACTGGATGACAATCATCAAACTAAATCATTTGGTATTCAGTCACTTTTTGACAAAACATTAGACATAAATCCAAGTTAAATTTCCTCAAATGGCAAGCCGGACAATAAACGAATCAGCAAATTTGATTGGTTTGTAATCTTATACTGATTTATCAGATTCTACACAAGAAAGCAAGACTAACTGGTGACGGAAATATAAAATCTCTGTTTTCACATCCATCTAGCCACAAGTTTTCAATATTGAGTTTTTCAATTTTTTCAAATCATATCTAGTTGATTTCGAATATTTTCTGTCTTATATCTAAA